GCCCCCCTCCCATGCGCGCGGAGCGCGCCAGGGGCGGCGCCGGAGGCGCCGCCGAGGGGGCCCAGCGCGGTTCGCAGAAACCCGCGCGGAGCGCCAAACGTTTCTGTGTATGGCGTTGTTGTTTTCTTCTAATCATGCCACGGGTTGCCTTTGCCGCGCCGCGACGGAACATCTATATATATATATATATATATATGTATATATATACACACTAGAACCATCGCGCGCTTCGCGCGCGCTCAAGTTCTAGCTAGCTTCTTGGGGCCTCCTCCGAGCATCCTGGACTGCTTCTTGAAGTCGTCATGGGACCTTCTTGGCATGTCTTCAGGGGCCTCTTAGAAAGAATTTTGAAGCCTTTTGGGTGCCGTCTCGGGGCCTCTTGGAGCCTCTTTGGGGCTTCTCGGGGGCCTCTTGGGGCCTCTTGGGGGCCTCTTGGGGCCTCTTGGGGGCCTGTTGGGGCCTCTTGGGGGCTTCCTGGGGGCATCTTGGGGCCTCTTGTGGGCATCTTGGGGCGGAGAGCTTGAGTTTTCAGTTCGCGTTCCCTCTTTGGGGCCCCTCTTGGGGCCTTCTTGGGACACTCTTGCGCCGTCTTGGGCGGCTCTGGGGCCGTCTCAGGGCTCTCTCGGGCCGTCTTGGGGCCCTCTTGGGGGCCTCTTGGGCCGTTTTCGAGCGGCTCGGGGAGCCTCTTGGGCGGTGCTTTAGCGCCGGAAACACGAAACAGCGAGAATGCAAAAAAATATCTTCAACAAAAAAACAATGAAAATCAAAGATGTTGCCCCTCTCGGGACGCTCTTCGACGGCATCTTGAAGGCCTCTTGGGGCGTCTTGGGGGCCTGTGGGGCAATTTAAACGCATCGTGCGTCGACGGAGACCCCTGGACGTCGTCTTGGGGGTGTCTCGAGCCCGCCTGGGGCCGCCGGGATTGCTGCCTGAGGGCTCCCCGGGCGACTTGAACAAGCCTCCCAGAGGCGGGCCCAGGCCCCGGGCCACACATCTGTGGTCGGGGTCCCGGCCACCGGCCCCCAGACCCGGTCCCCCGTTATATGTGTGTGTATATATGTATGTATATGTGTGTGCGTGCGTGCGTGCGGGCGTGCGTGCGTGCGTGCGTGCGTGTCTGTTTGTGCGTGTGCGTGTGCGTGCGTGCGTGCGTGTGTCTCTGTGTCTGTGCCTGTGCCTGTGCCCGTGTCTGTGCCCGGCAGTCCGCGGCCGCCGGCCTCCGCGGCGCGAGCGGCCAGAACAAGCCCTGCGCTGGCGGGTGTCCTCCCTGATGGTGGACACCGGCATCGCGTTGCCGTGAGGAGCGCCCCACGGAAAGAGCGCAGGGGCACCTCTTGGCCAAGGAGGGCCCCGGCCGACCGACCAAGTTCCCCGACTTCAGTCTGTGAAGCGGCCCAGAACCCAAGACGTGATGCGAAGGAGATCGCGCAGGCCACCATCCGCCCGAGCGGGAGGAAGTTCCCTCCTCCCCCCACGCCTCACGCTGCTCATCCATGTCTTCCTGCTCGTTATGATCGTCGTCGTTGTCATCATTCCCCCCCTGCCTCGTAGGTTCCCGTCCAGGTCCTCGATCTCCCTCCTCCTGCAACTCAGCCCCAGCGCATTATCGTTCTTCTCCCCCTCCTGGCTGAGATTCGTGAGTGGTGCGGGGGGTGCAGAGAAGCGAGAGGGCAGCCTGAGCCCCAATGTCCCCGAAATACACAGGATCGGAGCGAGCTTCTCAGCACAGCCCCATGCCTGCAGAACACAACAATATACAAACAACGCTCCAGGTGAAAACGCTTCGGTACGATTTGCGAGGAATGGAACAAATAACGTACATCGCAAAACAAAGTCCGGACACATGTTGTTGTCAGAATGTTGATTGAGCGTGCATTCCCGCTTTGATTATCATCGACAGTTTTCGGCGGATGTGACTTGTCTCTGTGCAGTCAGGATGGCGAGCGAGCGCTACTCAGAACACCCTGCGATGTGTCGAGGCCCCGCCAACGGTCTGGCGGGCGGAAACAAGCGCAGTTGGGAAGGACATCGTCGTCTTTATGCGACCAGATACTTTAAGAACATCTGGTACTGGATGAGATGCACACGCCAACTCGCCTCTGTCGCCTGCAACACCTTCCCGACAACAGCAAGAAACGGCATCTTCTATCAACCTCCTCCTCCTCCTCCTGCACCCAGTCCGAACCCTGCTCCTGCTCCGCATATTGATCCTGCTCATGATCATCAACACCCTGATCATCATCGTCGTGCCGCACCTACTGCTACCACGTGGCATGAGACAGGCGGGTCCTGAAAGACACGGGTCCGGGACTCCGAAGCTTTCCCCCAAGACCAATCTTTCTCCCCGAGTCGCTCTCTGACAATCAGGGCGCCGTGACGGTGAGAGGCGACCATCGGGGGGGACTGGCAAAGGCATGAGCTGGTTTCGCCGGCGCTGGGTTCGCCGGCGCTGGTTTCGCACCGCTGGTTTCGCCGACGGCTGGTTTCGCTGGCACTGGTTTCGCCGGCGCTGGTTTCGCCCCGCTGGTTTCGCCCCGCTGGTTTCGTCGGCGGCTGGTTTCGCTGGCGCTGGTTTCGCCAGCGCTGGTTCCGCCGACGTGAGCCATAACGGGCGGATCGGGTCGGGCGGGCGGACCCTAGCGGGCGGGTCGGGTCGGGTCGGGCGTGCGGACCTAACAGGCGAAACGGGTCGGGCGGTCGGGACATTGAAGTATGGGGAACGCTCGACTGAGCACGCGCGAACCCTAACGGGCGAGTCGAGTCGGGCGGGCGGACCCTAGCGGGCGGGTCGGGTTGGGCGGGCAGACTCTAATGGGCGGGTAGGGTCGGGCGGGCGGGACATTGAAGTGTGGGGCACGCTCGACCGAGCACACGCGAACCCTAACGGGCGGGTCGGGTCAGGCGGGCGGATCCTAGCGGGTGGATCGGATCGGGCAGTTTCGCCGACGGCAGCTGGTTGGCGGCAGCTGGTTTCGCCGACGGAGCTGGTTTCGCCGACGGAAATGATTTCGCCGGGCGGCGAAACCAGCCCGGCGAAACCGGCCGTCGGCGAAACCAGCGGTCGCCCTGGCAGAGGGGGGGGAACATCGACCTGGAATCGGCCATACTTCGCTAATAGATCGGGGATTGGCCCCCGAGAGCCAACAAGCACCTGCCTGGGCGGGTTGGGGCTATCAGACCCCCATCAACGATGCATGGGCGATTCGGGGGTGAATGCATCACCTCCTTTCCCTATCCCCGTGCCCGCTGGTTGTCGTGCCACAACTCGGCTCCCTGGCGGCCGTTCGGGACGATCCTGCCCCCCCCCCCCCAGAACGCTCTCGGCGCTGCGCAGCTGCTCGGGAGCATCCCGGCGCCAGGAGGCCGCCGAGAGCCGACGAGCACGTCCGAGAAAGCCTGGGACCTCGAAGCTCGAGGCCCCCCCGAGCCCATCGTGGGCCCCCTGACACTGCCCCGGGGGCGGCCGGAGGAGGCAAGCGGCGAGGAGCGAGAGAGAGACCCTGGCCTTCCAGAGTACTAGGAAATAGCCCTCCAGACCTCTAGACCTATCTGGATCACCTTAAACATCGACAGGAATTCAGATGTCCAGGTCCTGGTGCTATTTTCTAGCCCTCCTGGAAAGTCAGGGGAGGAGCACAGGCACCGAGGAGCCGCGACGAGACGGCCCCTGTGGGGGCTGGGCGGAGGACGGGGAGGCCTCGGGCGAGCAAGGCGTGCACCGGCCGCGGCGGGACAGCGCTATGTACAACTCCGCCGACGCTGCTGGCGCGTGCGAGAAGCTTTTCCGTTTGAGTCGTCGTCGTCGTCGTCGTCGTCGTCGTCGTCGTCTTAGCTCCACGGCGGGGAGGGGGCGGCCGGAGGAGGCAAGCGGCCAGGAGCGGGAGCGAGAGGAGCGCCACCACCAGCTGGCAGAGATCGACACAAACAACGTTTCTCGTCTTCGTTTTGTCTTCGTCTTCCCCTCGTCTTGTCTTCGATCCGCCCTTGCTGCAAAACGAGATCGAAACGAGAACGGCCCCCGAAATCGCCAGCACACCGGTTAGGTCGACCCCTTCCAGCAGGTCCTGGGCGGGGTGGGGCTATCAGACCCTCATCGGCGTCGTCGTCGCTCCCCCCCCTCACAGATAGGAGACCACATACGAACCCTACCCCTACCCCCACGATTTCCGAGGGGGAGGGTGGGGTTCACTTCGCTCGGGAGCTCCCGAACGAAGTGAACCCCACCCTCCCCCTCAGAAGTCGTGGAGTGTAGGGGTAGGGTTCGCATGCGGCCCCCTAATAGAGTGCCGAGCACCGTCGTGATCGAGTCGAAGGGGAAGCCCTTCCCTTCGATCCCTCCCCTGCCGAGGGGCGGGTCCCGGCTGGGGGTCCCGGGGGCTGTGACGCCCCCCCCCCCGGAGGAGAGCACCCCTCCTTGAGAGAAGCTTTCGGCTCAGGAGCGCGAGCGTCGTCTTCGTCGTCTTGGTCGTCGTCGTCGTCGTCCACCCCCCCTTCAGAGGTCGGCGGTACCGCCCTGAAGGCCTTTGCAATCTCTGGTTTGGTGAGGGGCGACGGTTGGGGGGGGGCTGGCATCGGGGGAGCATCGACCTGGAATCGGCGAAATACGATTCTGATAGATCGGCGATGGGCCCCCGATTGCAAACCCTCAAAGTCCTGGGCGGGGCGGGGTTATGAGTCCCCCATCGGCGATCAATGAGCGATAGGGGGTTGATGCATACCCCCCTTTGCCTATACCCCCTACCATTGCCCCTGATTTGGACGCTCGCAGTGGGTACGGTACGCAAAAATGGATACGATACCCAGCCGCAAGTGCTGTCCAAAACCAGAAGCGGCCGCCGTTGGGCAAACAACTTTCTGTCTCAAACGGTTATAACGTCCGCGGCGGCACCGAGAGCGAGTGCTGTCCAAAATGGGCAGGGACTGCTGTCGGTCTTCGCTGAAATGTTCCCCTACCCATTTCGATCCTCCAAAATCTGGGGTGGAGGCAATCGGCAGGGCACTCAGCCGGCAGCCGAGCCCTGAGGCCGCACCTTCACGACCTCCACCTCGAAGAGGAGTGCGGCGTTGTAGCCCTTCTGCAGCCTTGTGCGGCATCTCATGGGAGCCTCCCACCATACCATCTTGTTAGCCCTTGCGAATCGGCGCCATCGCCATACTGACGCGGATCGACGCTGCACCGGCGCCATCACATCGATTACCAAACGCTAATCGACGCTGGTGCACTCTAAAAACGGAGTTACGAACAAATGCGAGGCTCCCGTGATTTGCTACCGAAGTGACCCGTTCCCCGTCAGCAGCTTGCGGTAGCGCTCCATCCGCTGCCTGCCAGAAAAATTGACGGGCTCAGGCTTCCAGCCAGAGGTCTCGAAGCCGAGCTGCGGCGGCATCTCCACGGTCCGTGCGCCGCCCTTACAAGGTTGACCCGAAAGGGGGTCCAGCTGAAAGGGGGTTGTGCAATAGGTTTTGGGCGATTGTGTTGCAAATGCATTGCGCCAGTTGTATTGCAACGAGTGTATTGCACGCGAAAGCCCGGCAACGCAGTGGCGCACCAGAATGTAGTGCACGTTCCAACAAATCGATTGCAACCCCACGAATATGTTGCACCGCCCCCTTGTCGCTGGACCCCCTGTTGGGTCGACAAGACCTTCCTCATGCCCTCCATGGCCCTCTCCACGGCGACGGGCACGTCCTGCTGGCCCAGGCGGACCCGGTAGGTCTCCCCGAAGTCGTCCCCCGGCCTGTCCGGGCGGCCGCGCCCCAAGCTGTAGATGCACAGAGGGACAAAAGCACGGCTTCAACAGGCGCTCTCGGCACTCCCACGCGCGCAGTTCTTGTCGGGGGGCACGAGCCCTGACCTTCCAGGAGGGCTACCGAAAAACGCACCAGGACCTCGACGTCTGAATCCCAACCGAGGTCTTGGGCAGTCCAGAGAGGTCTATAGGTCTGGAGGGCTATGGTTTAGCACCCTGGAAGGTCAATGAAAGGGTAGGATAACAAAAGGCAGGGTAGAGATTCGGCTCCCGTAGCTAGTCTTCCTGGCGCCTCTTGGCGCCCAAGAGTCGAAGGATTGGCCTGGCGGCGGGGCGGAAACCAGCTGCAGGCAGCAAATTTTATAACCTCCCCTTTCCCTGTCCGACCCTTGCGGCCGGCCCGATCTTGCGTCGGCGCTGGACCTCACTCCCTGGCGCGCGGAGCGCGACATGGGGCGGCGACGGAGGTGCTGCCGGGAGGGAAATCGGCGCGGAGCGCCGAGAACTCTGCTTGCGCAGCTTTCCCCCCTCGAACTGTAATCCCCGTTCGTCTTCCGAACCTCGGAGGAGGGTGAAGCGAGACAGCAGCAGCTCCCAATCGATCCCCAGACTCCTCCCCGCCGGGGTGCAAGCGCATCAGTTTTGCGAGCTGAGCCCAACCTCTGCGACGAGGGCCCCCTCCCGAATGCCAACCACAACTGGCGCAACTCGCCCTCCTGTGACTGCGATCCCCGTCCGTCGTCCGAACCTCGTAGGTCACCTCCACCACGTCGCCTTAGCATGGGGGAAACGGGTCTTGAGGGTAACGGGTCCTTGACCCTGGGGCCTTGTCACAGGACGAGGTCCTCACTCCTGAGTCGCTTGCTGACAAGTCCTGGGGCCCCGTGGAAAGCACCGAAGACCTGAAAACAGCGAAAAACATCGGGAACCGTTTCCCTCAAAACCAATATTTCCAATTGTGGACGCCAGAAATGGGTACGGAAAGAATGAATAGAATGCCCAACAGTAAAGGCTGTCCAAAACCAACAGCGGCCACTGTTGGGCAAGCGGCTTTGTCTTCAGGGAGCAACGTCCGCGGCGGCGCGGACAGCGAGTCTTGGTCACAATGAACAGGAACTGCTATTGGGCATCGTGCCTAGTCTTTCCGTACCCATCTCGATCGTCCCGACCCATTTAACAGGGACCGACCGTCCCGGCATCCCTATAGTCCTACCACGAAATGCTCCTAAAACCCCAAGAATGTTCTAAGAACGCAAGCAATGTCCTTAGAGCATGAACCCGATGTGTCAAAACAATACGGCCTCCGCCAGAAAAGGTTCGAAAAACACTTCGTGGGAACCACAAGAGGTTCTTAGAACATCGTTTGTCGGGTCGGGCGAAAGGGGGGATAGCGAAGGGGGCGTTTGATAATCAGCTCACGTAGCTGATATTCCAGGCGCCTCCCGGCGCCGGGAGGCGCCCATGTATCGAGGAATGGGCCCCTCGGTGGGGCCGAAACCAGCTGCATGCAGCAGATTTCGGACACCCCCTTTTTCCAATCCCCCCGGTTCGTCCGGGCCGAGTTTGGTAGGGCTATATCGGGAGCGGCCAAGAAGGGGGTGTCCAAGAGGGGGGGGGTGCAAATCATGGCCGGCGGCACGTGCGCGGCCCAGCGGGGGGACCAGGAACGTAATGAAATAAGAGGAGGCGCCATGAAATCTGGGGAAGCATCATGGCCCCCGCCATGCTATCCAGCCCCCCCTAGTCATCACCCCCCTGTTTGCCGCCCCCGATATAGGCGAGCCAGGGCGCTCTGCCACTGTTCGACGACCCGGGGCGGTCGCCGCTGCTCACCGCGGGGCCCGCGCCGGCGGCTGTCTCCCTGTAGCGCACGCCCGCGCCGAGCTTCACGAGGCGCCGGCGGCGCGCAGGGGCGAGGGCTCGGTCGGGCCCGTCTCCCTACGGGGGGATTCGGGATGAAAAATTACATGCCAATTTGTCATCCAAAATTCCAGGTTTAATCGTAATGTTTTTAAATGTTTTAAACTAGCATTTTATAATTAAAAAAGCAACCTTAAACAATGCAAGCAAGGTCGAAAATATCGTCTTCATAATATCAAGAATGGGATCACCAAACGGTCCCCTACGGGGGCATTCTGGACGGAAGTTTAAAAACAGTCAAAACAATTATCCTGGCGAAGGACCCAACCATCTGCAATTGTGAGTACCGCAGTTGTGAATATCTTCTTCGGTGGAGCCCCCTACGGGGCCGCGAAACGTACGAGGGGTGTGCCGAAATGGGCGTGCGGGACGCATGCGGGCACACCCACTGGGGCCTTCGGTGGAGCTCCCTATGCGACCACAAAACGTGCGAGGGGTCACGAAACGCGTGAGGGGTGTGCCGAAACGACTGTGCGGGACGCATGCGGGCACACCCACTGGGGCCTTCGGCGAAGCTCCCTTTGGGGCCACGAAACGTGTGAAGGGGTGTGCCGAAATGGGTATGCGGGACGCATGCGGGCGGCAGCACTGGGACCGTCGGTGGAGCCGCTCTACGGGGCCACGAAACGTGCGAGGGGTGTGCCGAAATGGGTGTGCGGGACGCATGCGGGCACACCCATTGGGGCCTTCGGTGGAGCTCCCTATGGGACCACGAAACGTGTGAGGGGTCACGAAACGCGTGGGGGGTGTGCCGAAATGGATGTGCGGGACGCATGCGGGCACACCCACTGGGGCCTTCGGTGGAGCTCCCTATGGGGCCACGAAACGTGTGAAGGGTATGCCGAAATGGGTGTGCGGGACGCATTCCCTATGGGGCCACGAAACGCGTGAGGGGTGTGCCGAAATGGGTGTGCGGGACGCATGCGGGCGGCAACACTCTGGGGCCTTCGGTGGAGCTCCCTATGGGGCCACGAAACGCGTGAGGGGTGTGCCGAAATGGGTGTGCGGGACGCGTGCGGGCGGCAGCACTGGGGCCTTCGGCGGAGCACCCTATGGGGCCACGAAACGGGTGAGGAGTGTGCCGAATGGGGTGTGCGTGACGCATGCGGGCGGCAGCACTGGGGCCTTTTTTTTTTTCCGGAGCTCCCTATGGGGCCACGAAACGTGTGAGGGGTGTGTCCAATTGGGTGTGCGTGACGCATGCGGGCGGCAGCACTGGGGCCTTCGGTTGAGTTCCCTTATCGGGCCACGAAGCGTGTAAGGGGTGTGCCGAAATGGGTGTGCGGGACGCATGCGGGCGGCAGCACTGGGGCCTTCGGCGGGGCTCCCTATGGGGCCACGAAACGTGTGAGGGGTGTGCCGAATTGGGTGTGCGTGACGCATGCGGGCGGCAGCACTGGGCCTTCGGCGGAGCTCCCTATGGGGCCACGAACGTGTGAGGGGTGTGCCGAATTGGGTGTGGGTGACGCATGCGGGCGGCAGCACTGGGGCCTTCGGCGGAGCTCCTATGGGGCCACGAAGCGTGTGAAGGGTGTGCCGAATTGGGTGTTGGTGACGCATGCGGGTACACCCACTGTGGCCTTCGGCGGAGCTCCTATGGGGCCACGACACGTGTGAGGGGTGTGCCGAATTGTGTGTGGGTGACGCATGCGGGCGGCAGCACTGGGGCCTTCGGCGGAGCCCCTATGGGGCCTCGAAACGTGTGAAGGGTGTGCCGAATTGGGTGTGGGTGACGCATGCGGGCGGCAGCATTGGGGCCTTCGGCGGAGCTCCTATGGGGGCCACGAAGCGTGTGAAGAGTGTGCCCAATTGGGTGTGGGTGACGCATGCGGGCGGCAGCACTGGTGCCTTTTCGGCTGAGCTCCTATGGGGCCACGAAACGTGTGAGGGGTGTGCCGAATGAGGTGTGCGTGACGCATGCGGGCGGCAGCACTGGGGCCTTCGGCGGAGCTCCTATGGGGCCACGAAACGTGTGAGGGGTGTGCCGAATTGGGTGTGGGTGACGCATGCGGGCGGCAGCACTGGGGCCGTCGGCGGAGCTCCTATGGGGCCACGAAACGTGTGAGGGGTGTGCCGAATTGGGTGTGGGTGACGCATGCGGGCGGCAGCTGGGGCCTTCGGCGGAGCTCCTATGGGGCCACGAAACGTGTGGTGTGCCCGTTGCGGGCGGCAGACTGGGGCGGCGGAGCTCCTATGGGGCCACGAAGCGTGTGAAGGGGTGTGCCGAAATGGGTGTGCGTGACGCATGCGGGCGGCAGCACTGGTGCCTTCGGCGGAGCTCCTATGGGGCCATGAAACGTGTGAGGGGTGTGCCGAATTGGGTGTGGGTGACGCATGCGGGCGGCAGCACTGGGGCCTTCGGCGGAGCTCGTATGGGGCCACGAAACGTGTGAGGGGTGTGCCGAATTTGGTGTTGGTGACGCATGCGGGCGGCAGCACTGAGGCCTTCGGCGGAACTCCTATGGGGCCACGAAACGGATGAGGAGTGTGCCGAATTGGGTGTGGGTGACGCATGCGGGCGGCAGCACTGGGGCCTTCGGCTGAGCTTCTATGGGGTTGCGAAGCGCTGTGCTGGGTGGGTGAAACGCAGGGAGGAGGGGGAGGAGGGAGGAGGAGGGAGACGAGGAGGAGAGGAGAGGAGGAGAGGAGGAGAGGAGAGGAGGACGCGGGGACCGTTTCTTCAAAACGAGGACCCAACACCACAGGATGGTTGGGAAATACCTTAAACAAATTAGCCTGGCAAAAAACCCAACCATATGCAGTTGTCAATACCGCAGCTGCGGGTTTCATCTTCACTGGAACTCCCCATAGGACTACGGAACGTGTGAGGGGTGTGCAGAGATGGGTGCCACTGGGGCATTCGGCGAAACTCCCTATGGGGACATGAAACACGCGCGGGGCGTGCCGACATGGGTGGCGGAAGCGCATGTGAAGGCCGCCACTCGGGCCTCCAGTAGAGCTCCCTATGGGTCCCCGAAACATGATGCTGCTGCGGGGGGGGGGGCATGGGTGGCGGAGACGCATGTAAGCGCCGCTACTGGGGCCTTCGGTGTGGCTCCCTATGGGGCCACGAAAAGTGTGAGGGGTGTACTTGGATGTGTGGCGGGGACGCATGTGAGCGCCGCCACTGGGGCCTTCGGTGCAGCTCCCTATGGGGCCACGAAACGTGTGAGGGGTGTGCCGAATTGGGTGCGGGTGGTGACGCATGCGGGCGGTGCCACTGGGGCCTTCGGTGGAGCCCCCCCCTATGGGGCCACGAAACCTGTTGTTGTGAAAGGCGTGCGGGGATCGGTGGCGGGGACGCATGTGAGCGCGGCCGCTGGGGCCTTCGGTGGAGCTCCCTATGGGGCCACGAAACGTTTGAGGGGTGTGCCGAATTGGGTGGGTGTGGGTGACGCATGTGAGCGCCGCCGCTGGGGCCTGCGGTGGGTGATGGGGCCACGAAACCTGTCAGGGATGTGCCGAAATGAGTGTGCGGGACGCATGCGAATGTGAGCGCCGCCACTGGGGCCTTCGGTGGAGCTCCCTATGGGGCCGCGAAACGTGTGAGGGGTGTGCCGAATTGGTTGTGCGTGACGCATGCGGGCGGCGGCACTTGGGCCTTCGGTGGGGCTCCCTATGGGGCCACGAAGCGTGTGAAGGGGTGTGCCGAATTGGGTGTGCGCGACGCATGCGGGCGGCAGCACTGTGGCCTTCGGTGGGGCTCCCTATGGGGCCACGAAGCGTGTGAGGGGTGTGCCGAATGGGGTGTGCGTGACGCATGCGGGCGGCAGCACTGGGGCCTTCGGTGGAGCTCCCTATGGGGCCACGAAACGTGTGAGGGGTGTGCCGAATTGGGTGTGCGTGACGCATGCGGGCGGCAGCACTGGGGCCTTCGGTGGGGCTCCCTATGGGGCCACGAAACGTGTGAGGGGTGTGCCGAATTGGACGTGTGCGTGACGCATGCGGGCGGCAGCACTGGTGCCTTCGGTGGGGTTCCTATGGGGCCACGAAGCGTGTGAGGGGTGTGCCGAATTGCGTGTGCGTGACGGATGCGGGCGGCAGCACTGTTGCCTTCGGTGGGGCTCCCTTGTGGGGCCACGAAGCGTGTGAGGGGTGTGCCGAATTGGGTGTGCGTGACGCGTGCGGGCGGCAGTGCGTGGGGCCACGAAACGTGTGAGGGGTGTGCCGAATTGCGTGCGCGACGCATGCGGGCGGCACTGGGGCCTTCGGTGGAGCTCCCTATGGGGCCACGAAACGTGTGAGGGGTGTGCCGAATTGGGTGTGGTGACGCATGCGGGCGGCAGCACTGGGGCCTTCGGTGGGCTCCCTATGGGGCCACGAAACGTGTGAGGGGTGCCGAATTGGGTGTGCGTGACGCATGCGGGCGGCGGCACTGGGGCCTTCGGTGGGGGCTCCCTATGGGGCCACGAACGTGTGAGGGGTGTGCCGATTGGGTGTGCGTGACGCATGCGGGCGGCAGCACTGGGGCCTTCGGTGGGGTTCCCTGTGGGACTGGGGCCTTCGGTGGGGCTCCCTATGGGGCCACGAAGCGCGTGAGGGGTGTGCCGAATTGGGCGTGGGTGGCGCATGCGGGCGGCAGCACTGGGGCCTTCGGCGGGGCTCCTATGGGGCCACGAAACGTGTGAGGGGTGTGCCGAATTGGATGTGGGTGACGCATGCGGGCGGCAGCACTGGGGTCTTCGGCGAAACTCTTATGGGGCCACGAAACGTGTGAGGGGTGTGCCGGATTGCGTGTGGGCGACGTATCCGGGCGGCAGCACTCGGGCCTTCGGTGGAGCTCCTATGGGGCCACGAAGCGTGTGAGGGGTGTGCCGAATTGGGTGTGGGTGACGCATGCGGGCGGCAGCACTGGGGCCCTTGGTGGAGCTCCTCTGGGGCCACGAAGCGTGTGAGGGGTGTGCCGAATTTGGTGTGGGTGACGCATGCGGGCGGCAGCACTGGGGCCTTCGGCGGAGCTCTTA